GTTTCTTTTCTTATCATGATGTCAGGAGAGGCACTGCCTCCCCTGACCGCACGTCACTGGTACTTTAACTCCTGACCTGTCCATTGTATCATTTACTATAATGAGTGCTTACATTGAGCCTATCTTTTTGAATATTTATCATTAATCGTCAATTTATCATGTCAGCTTTTTAAGACTTAAGACTCCTGTGTTGAAGCATTTTGCACCCAAAGGAAGGATAACAATCAGTGAGAGATGAAACAAAGAGATAAAATTAGAAGATATATTTATATCATGTTTGTGGAAACTCACAGTGGCACATGAACTAACAAACCACAGATAAAAGATACCATGTTTTTGACCACTTCCCATGTTCCTATTCTGCAAGAGAGCTGCAGGATATCTGTTGAAAATGAACATTTTCTAAATTATTATTTATAAGTCAACTCATTCACTGACAGGTTTATGGATTTATTTCTAAATGTCAGATCTTTGTCAAGATGAAAAAAAGCTGGAAAAAAGGCATATAAACAGTTTACAGTTTGTCAGAGCAGAAGCTGTTTTTTGATCACAACTGAACTAATGATCACAGACCTGACTCAATGAAACATCTGAACTCATGAGTAAGAAAGTCAAGTATAAAACAGGAAATGAGAAAAGAACACAGCAGGCAAAATGAACAAACTTGTAGGACAAAGTAAGATTGTTGTCAACAACATCACTGGTTCACGTTCTTCATCACTGTCAGTGCAGGAAAGATCTTCTGCAGATCATTTCTCTATGAGCTTGGAGAGTCATCCTTACTGATTTGAAGTCAGTCTTGATGCTGGGAAGGCAACAAGTGAAGACAAAATCTTCAAAAATCTATTTCCTGTTTGCAAGGAGTACGGAATTAACAGAACTGAAATCTGGTTTTAAATTCAAACAAAAAGAGAGAATTTAAGTACAAATACCTCAAAGTGACGTCCAAGTGATCTCCAAGTGAAAAATTTGAAGAACTTTTTTAGAATTTTTTTATTGGAAAAATAGAAAAAAAATTTTTTTTAAAATTTTTTTTGGAAAAATAGGAAAGACATTTTTGGAAAAAAAAAATTGATGTCCAAGTGACCTCCAAGTGACGTCTGTGACCTCTTTTGAAAAAAATTTTAATTTTTTAAATTTGTTTTATTTTTAGAAATTCTTTTTTTTTTTTAGAAATGTTTTTTTTTTTAGAATTTTTTTTTTTTGGAAAAATAGAAAAGAAATTTGGAAAAAAAAAGTGACGTCCAAGTGACGTCTAAGTGACGTCTAAGTGACCTCCAAGTGACCTCAGAGTGAAGACCAAGCAACCTCCAGGTGATCTCAAGTGACCTCAAAGTGACGTCCAAGTGACCTCCAAGTGACATCTTTGACCTCTTTTGAAACATTTTATTTTTTTTTTAGAATTTTTTTATTTATTTTAGATTTTTTTTTGTTTTAGAATTTTATTTTTTTTTTAGAAAAATTTTT